TCATGCCTTGACTCTGAAACCTAATGAACACTATTTAATTTCAATGCTAATACTTTGCCTCTGAGCATTCCATCAGAAATATCCTATGAACATTAAAATAAAAACTGGAACAGGAAGGAGCAGAATCTATTGCTTTTAAGGGAACTAGAAATTCACCCCCTTCTCAAGTGTCAGGATGACCCTTAAACAGTTGCAAGCCCCCCATTATCTCTTGAATGTTCACAGTCCATAGCCACCTACAAGGAACCTTTAGACCTTCTCCTGACACCTTCCAAATCCTGGAACATACTGAAAATAAAGGGTAGTAAACAGACCCAATATTTCATACTCTGAAGTAACTTTTCTTAATTAAAACTTTGATTAATAAAGTCAACACTCTCTTACTAAGCTCAGATTTAATTTGATAATACCCAAAGATGCTCAGTTTACTTGGAGCTGCCACAAAACTATCAGTGCTGCAGACTTCCACAGAAAACAGATGTGTGTGTGGGAGAGCAAAGGAAAACCCTGTTGGATAAATTAGGTCCATGAATTAAATCCATCTTGCCAAAGAATACTGGAGCTCTAAGTCCTACAAGAGACTGTTATTCCTTTGGGAATTATCAATGTTCAAGTGACATATATGTATGCTGTAGTTCCAGCCAGAAAGCTTAGTGACAAACCTCAGTATTGTCATGGAGCAGACCTAATTTTGATTCCTAGTGTAGGCATCTCATTCCTCAAATTAGCAGAGGCCAAGAATATTGAAGACACAGCACACTCAGGGACAGATTATTAAAAGTCTACAGGTGCTTAAAGAAGCATACAGAGTCTAGACCCCTATCTATATTCATAGGTGCTTAAATAGCTCTAAAAATCTGGTTCTCAATCTCACGTTCCTTGTGGTACTCAAGAGACCCCTGTATTTGTCTAAAGACATGCTTTGAACAATCAACCTCCCCCTCTCCCCCTCCCCCCAAAAAAATACCCAGTGTCCAGTCCTTCTTGGCTAAAAGAGTGGATCAGAAATGTAAGACCTCAACATTTCAATCAGCAGGGCTCTCCCAGGCCTGCACAGAGGTTCTGCTCTGGCTTGTGCATCTAAGGACTGGTCAACAATTCAGTTTGTTGTACAATCAAAACTTTCAAATCATTCACTTATATTAAAACATTTTTAATATTACAACTGTAGTTCCTGTCAAACAGGATCTGAAAAAAACTGTTTGGAACAGGATACTGTTCATTTCATTGTTTTATAGATTGTCAAACTGCAAGAGGGCTCAAACCCAAGAAATTACAAGAGAAAGTACACAGAATAATTCACTACCTGTGAAACACCAACAACTTTAGTGAGGTTACAGGGATGGATTTGTCTAATCACCTAACACATACTTTTTAAAAATCAAATATTTTTGGTTTAATTTCTTAAATCAGAGCTTAAATTCTTTTCTATATTTCTACTGGCTTTTTGATAAGTTTGCATGTGCTCAGAACAATATAGAGTTGCACTTTCTTATTAGCAGTGTTGTCACACACTGGAAGAAGTTACTGAGTTGATAACTTTATGTATTTGTCATAAAGAAAAGAGATTTAAAGGCCAGAACTTACTTGCTAATGTGAGATGACCTTTTTGACTGAGAATGGCCCCATATTTGTTCACAGCTAAACACTGGTAAAATCCTTCATCAGATGGTTCTCCTCTCTTTCCTTCCACCTCACTGATGTATAAAGAGCCATTGGATAAAGTGTAGATCCTTTCATTTTCAGAAACCTTTGCTCCATTTTTCAGCCATGTAATGGTAATGGGGACTTCACCATGGGCATGGCAATCTAAAACCACTGGGTCCTTCCTTGTGACAGTTATGTCCTGTGGCTCTTTTATGAAAAACAGCTCACTAAAGCACCACACTCCTGAGAAAGAAAATAGGTTTTTGATTATAAGTACAGGCATACAAGGATCATTATAAGTAAAAGCAAACCTGAAAGCACACACTAACTGAAGTGGTGCAATATAAATACTTCTGTAGCCAACAAGTACCAAATTCTGCCCCTACAGACTGCAAGAGGAATTGTGCAGCCGACTCCAACGAACGTAAAAGGCAGCCCTAAATAATTATGCTGCTTTGAGTTTGCAAATGCATGTAATTATCTGAATGAGAAAGCAAGAGTAGTGCTTTGAATATTTAAACCTGCCTCACCAAGATTCAATATAAAAATGCTGGACTGTGAATATTTGCACAAGCAATCTCTCCTCTCACAATTTCCTGTCACTCTTATGTATAAAAAAGATCATCTGATGGTTTCCACAAACTGCACTAAACCAGCCCTCATACAGGTGTGGAGCCCTTACTGGCCTGGTTTTGGCAACATCACCCGGGGAAGCTAGGAGCACAAGCTGTCTGCTGATTTTACAAGCTTGTCAAAAAGATCTTGAACAGGGCAAGTCGTAAACGCCTAATTTTACTAGAAATCTTTAGCAAAACCTGGTCATTGTGAGCCAGGGGGGTTATCCCCGCAGCCCTGCAAGACTCGGGCACCCTCTGCACCCACTCCCCGGGGAGAAGCGTCTGTGGTCGTTTGCGGCAAGGGCACGTGGGCTTTTGCATGCTTGTGCTTCAAGCGCAGGCGGCAACTTTTCAACGCTGCTGCTGCCGCGCTCGCTCGTGCAGCGCAGCGGAGGCGCTCGGAGCCGCGCCGCAGGTCCGCGGTGCTCTCCCGACCCTCGCTTGCAGCGGGGCCTGGGGAGGGCCAAGTGCCGGGCACCCGACGGCCTCCAGTCC